TCGCGATGCGTCGAAGGGCAATCATTCTGATCGGCAATATACATATACATATACATATACATATACATATACATATACATATACATATGTATATATGTATAAAGGAGCCTGAACAAAGAGACTAGGGTTTTAGGGCATACTATCGTCATTTTACAGTATACTGCTATTGGAAAACCCGAAGGACAAGTGTTGCAAATTATTCCGACCTCTATATTTGCTTAGAAGCCGGTGGAAGGTTTCGGATTTTCGTGAGGTTCTGAGGTTCAGGGTTGAGGGCTGTAGGCGTGTGGAGTACAGCACAGTAACCCTAAACCCTGAACTGAAACAGAGGATCTATTAGGCTTTTGGGTGTCATCGCTGCATCTTCCCAGCATCACTACGTCACTGACGGCATGGGGCCGCAGGCCTTTACAATTGGATTAAGTTGTGGGGTATACTAGAGTATAATCATGCAGGGGCTACGCACGGATGCGACCACTTTCACACCTCTATAGTAAACTAGAGTCTACAGCAACAGCAGCTGCAAAGGCCTCCCCCTGGATTCCAACCCTCTAGAGTAGAGAATCTGCTTCAAGCTCCTGGGGACCCGGGCATGTATGAGCTGCTTCAAGCTGCCCTAGCCGGCCCTAGCCGGAATACAAAGCAAGTGCAAGGCGTGACTGGCCACCAGTGCACAAGACTCGCACGACGGCACAACCACGTCAGTAACCGGCGTCCAGTAACATAGGGGCCGTAATAAATATCTATATCATTTTGGGGGGTATAATGGGCCCCAATTACTGTAAGGCCCCTACATTCACCCTAAACCCAACCTATGTAACCTGAACAGGAACCTCAGACCATTCCCGAAGCCCTTAAACTGTCAAAGGCGCCTAAACACTTGAGCTAGTACCCTCGGAACTTGCTCGGAACCACGAAAGCTCTCCTACTACCCTGGGTTTAAGTGCAGGTTTAAGGTCCAGGCTTTTGTTATGATTCAAGGTTTCAGGCTCATGGTTAGTACCCTTACTTTGGCCTTGAACCCCTTCAGCTCAAAACCCCCGAGGCCCATAAACTCGATCACACCCTGAACTTAACTTTAAAAGCCCTAAAAGTCTAAAAACCTGCACCCCAGAAGCCACCCTAGAACGCTGAACACCCTTCCTTAGACGTTAAAGCCCAAAATGCTACTCTAAAGCCTTCCCAGCCTGATAGGAGGACTCCGAGGAGGGCCAGGGCAGGAAGTAGAGAGATCCTGGGTCTATCCTGACAGCGGCTGGCTTAGGGTTTAGGGTTTAGGGTTTAGGGTTCAGGATTTAGGTGATGGAGGTTAGGGTTTAGAGTTTAGGGTTTGGGCATTTGCGGCTTGCGTGACTTGGAGTTTAAGGTTTAGGGCTGAGTGCGTGCATATACATTTTTATATATACACATATGTACGCAACTGAGCAATCTCTCGCCTCCTGCACTTAACTACCCATAACCCATAGCCTTCAAATCACCTGTGAGTTTAAGGTTGCGTTTCGAAAGACGTCAGGATTACTCAAGAGGAAGCATTTGTCGTGGTGGCCACGGGGAGGACATAGCTCGGGGTTGCTATACCAAAGGTATCTCATGTAGTGTGTGGTGCACGGTAGCGCTGTCGTACTCAGCATACATACTGAATCACGCGGGCCCACAAGAGGCGCAGGGTTGTGTAACTTGCGCTGACTTTAGGTTTAAGCTTCAGGTTTAGAGCCTCGATCTTCGAGTTTAGAGTCTTTTGCTTACTGGTATTACTGTTCCGACAAGTCTTCCTCTCATCACTGCCAACCGGACGCTAGCTCTAGCCCGTCCCAGGGTCTCGCCGATGCTCTGCACATCGAGGACCTGTCGCACGCGAACCGGCAGGCCGAAGTAGTGGTAGACCTCCCAGGACAGGGCTTAGGCTGTCGGTTTTTGAAGTTGAGACAGTTAGGGTTTAGAGTTTAGGGCGTGGGGTTTAGGGTTTATAGGGTTTGTCACAGTGCCACGCCGTGCCCCACCCATCCACGAGTGGTCGTGGTCGAACAAACGTTGCAATGTTGGGGAGGCCAAGAGGCAGAGCCATGCGTGCAGCGACGTCCTCGCAGAGTCGTCCCCGTCCCTCGTCATGTTGGGGCGATCTGCCGTCCCAGAGTCGCTTTTTGGTGTCTGTGCAGCTGTGCCGCCAGAGTTGTCCGCCCGCCCCCCGCCAGACAGGGGGGTTCGGCCGTCCCCATCACCCGTCTGTCCCCCACAGACCGAGGCCCCTACATGCAGTTGTCCCCGCCAACATGCCGCTGTGGCTTTTGCCGGCCGCCAGAGTGTCCTCCGCCGTCCCTGCCAGAGTCGCCCTACAAGAGAACGGAACCCAATTGTACTTATTGTGCCCCATGGCTAGCAGTGCCAAACCAAGTGCAAGCAGATCTCGAAGTTGGGCTTAATCTTTGGGAAACATGAACCCCAAATCCTAAGCAAACCCCAAACCGGCTGACCCTCAGACCGTAGCAGCCCCAACCCGAATCCTCTAAGATATGAGCCCTGAGCTCCACATCCTACATCCTTAAGCGCTAGCAGCTGAAAGCCCCAAAGCCCTAAGACCCTAAGACCCTGCCGCCCTACACTACAAATCCTGAAATCCTAGCTGCTAAGGACCCTCAAAACCCTAAACCCTGCATGAAGAAGGCCATGAAAGAAGCCCACCGCCTCCCTCAACCCGAAACCCTTACACCCTATAGGCCCTAAACCCCCAAATCCCGAATCCCCTAAACCCCTAGCTGTCACTAACCCTAAACCCCAAACCCTGCAACCTAGGAGTTAGGAGTAGGGACCCTTGGGGATAAAGACCTTCTCAATAAGGTCCCTCTTAAGAGAGACAGAAGTAGGGTTAAGAAGTCCCTAAACCCTTAAGCCCTACTAAACCCTGAACCCCTCAACTCAGCCGAGAAAGGGCCTTCTCCAAGGGGGCTCCCATCCCAAGGCATCTACTCTCATCGGCTGAGATGACGACGATGAGGAGTTCGTAGGCTTCGGGTAATTGCGTTTAGGGGCCTAGCCTCGGGCTTCAGGCTTAGGGCTTTGAGCTTAGGGCTTTGGGGTTTGGGGCTTGTGAAAGCTTGGGGTTTGGGGTCTCGGGTTCAGGTGGGGTTTGAGGGCCACCGCTTCGCGGAAGGACTCTTTAGCGTTTAGGGTTTAGGGTTTGGGGGTTTGGGGGTTTAGGGGTTTAGGGTTTAGGGTTTAGGGTTTAGGTAGGGGCCGTGGCAATAGGTACAGGGGTTTGGATGAGAGAGACAAGTACCCTAAGAAACGCTAGAAGTTGTGCTACTAATGAACTTAGGCTCCTACATTGGATGCTCAGGAACCCTACACCCTAAACCCCTAAACCCCATAGGCCCTAAACCTTAAACCCTAAACCCCAAAGCCCTAAACCCTAAACCCTAAAACCTAAACCCTAAACCCTAAACCCTAAACCCCAAAGCCCTAAACCCTAAACCCTAAAACCATGAGTCTCCAGAAGCAGCGGGCATGTTCGAGCTTACTCCGATCTGAGCCACGTGCCAGCTGTTTAGGGTTTAGGGGTTTAGAGTTTGGGATTTAGGGCTTAGGGGCTTTGGGTTTAGGGTTTATGATTTTGGGTTTAGGGGTTTAGGGGTCTAGGGTTTAGAGCCAAGGGTTTAGGGGTTCGGGGTTCAGGGTTTAGGGTCTAGGGTTTAGGGTTTAGGGTTTAGGGTTTAGGGCTTAGGGCTCAAGGCTGACAAAACCCACAAGCCAGAAGAGCCAAGCTTTAAGGTTCAGGCTCTAGGGCTTGGCTTGGGCCTCAAGTCCCAAACCCGTTTAGGGTTCAGGGTTTAGGGTTTAGGGTTTAGGGTTTAGGGTTTAGGGTTTAGGGTTTAGGGTTTAGGGTTTAGGGCTTAGGGCTTAGGGTTCAGGGTTCACGGTTCAGGGTTCAGGGTTCAGCAGCTC